ATGTGGGACTCGATCCCGGGACTCCAGGATCATGACCTGAGCCGAAGGCAGTCGCTTAACCAACTGAGCCACCCAGGCGCCCTCTCAACTGTTATTTTAAATGCACCTGAGATCGTATTTGTAAGACCTCACATAAAAAACGGCAGAAAGTTAATTAATAAGATTTGCTTAAAACTCTACATTTGCTATCATACAACAAAATTAAATTAATTTAATATTTAATTGAATCCCTTATCTATCATTTGCATTCTGGGGGAAAGAATGTTTCAGGAAACCAAGGTCATGGCCAGAGTAGGAACTGTGTTAACTGTTAACCATTAAGTTCAACTAAAAACAAAACCAAAACCAAAAAAAGAAGACAAAAAACAAAAAGAGATGGTTCAATCCAGTCTGAAGTCATATGCTGAGGTCAATATGTATGATTTTATACTCTTCCAGAGGTTGTGAAAATGCTGTATATGTTTATGATAGATGTAACATAATAGAACTCTTGAGAGAAAGAATTTGAGGTTGTTCATTTGAGAATACACTTGGAGCAATTAGTTCTCTGCAGGACTATACTGCAGGTAGCTGTCTAGTCCTTGACACACATTTTTCATTTCCTCAGAATGATCAGTGGAGACGGATTTTCCATTTGTGCTTTAGCTGTGACACACAGTACAGATTTGTATGATTATTCAAAACATGAGGAGATTGGGGGTCACAAAATTGCGATTGTATCTGTTCGCCCAATTGTTTTTAACAAATCAAAATGCTCACAAGTGCCCAGGACATTCATTCTGTTATTAAACCATAGGCTTTGTGAACCCTGAAGGTGTAAGCTGGTGCTTGCATTGTATTCATTGAGTCATTCATTCAACGAACATTTATTGAGCATCTAGTATTTGCTGAACACTCTTCCAGATGCTGGAACAACAAAAACTGACTGATAAAGTCTCTGTCCTTTGAGAACTCCTTGAAAATGCTTCCAGCCAGGTTCAGCTGGTCTCAGCTTCTGCTGGGTGCTGTGTAGGAAGCAGGCCTCAGGAGAAGATGAAGCAGGACTGGAGGCTAAGGGCCACACCGCCCGTCATTGACTCTGGCCATTTTAGCTGAGACTGGAAGGGTGTCCAAATCATCTCTACTCACTTCAGGCTGGAGCGCTGAGCTTCCTCTGCTTATCCCTTCTCCCTGCTCCTGCCACTTTATCTTATTCACCCTTCAAGGTGCAACTAATTGTTTTTTTTCTTCTGGAAGCCTTCTGGGATCCCACAGTCAGGCTGCCTCTGCTGTCTTAGAGAAATTGTATTTTTTTTTTTTTAATTACGATATTTATCACATAGTATTTGCATCACTGTCTGTCTCAGTAGATTGTGAGCCATCCCTTGTGCCCCAAGGCCATTTTTATCTTGCAGGCTACTTTTTAAAAAATTAAATTAATCGGGACGCCTGGGTGGCTCAGTCGGTTAAGCAGCCGATTTTTGGTTTCGGCTCAGGTCATGGTCTCAGGGTCCAGGGATCGAGCCCCACGTGGGGCTCCTTGCTCATCGGGAGTCTACTGGAGACTCTCTCCCCTTCTGTCTCCATATGCCCCTCCCCCCATGCTCCCATTCTCTCTCTCTCTCAAATAAACTTGAGAGTGTTGCCTGGTGTTAGTTACTCCATGACTATCCCATACTTTTCTTTGAGTCCTAGTTATTCTAGTCCTACTGACAAATGGCCTGGAGTCTAGATCATATCTGCTTTGGTCAAGTCTGTCAAATCATGCAGCCGTTCCTACAGTAAAACGGCTGACCCTATGTTGTGCATCGCTTTCAGCAAATGCAACTATACACTGAAATAGAAGGTAGAGGAAATCATTCCTTTAGAAATTTCTCTTTCCGAGATAAGTCATCTGAATTATGACTGTAAAACCTGGCTGTCCTCCTGGGTCTGTAGACATGTTTACAACAGTGAGGAAAAGGAGAACCTTCTTGCAGGATCTTTAGTAGGACATCATTTACAGTAAATGGAACTCGAGACACCAGAAAGCATCCCGTAAACCAGCACAACCCTAGTGGCCACGCCCTCGCCTGTAAGTGGTTTTTGCTGTTGCTGTGGTGATGGTGGTGTGGTGGTTTTGCCAAACCTCCTTTTCTCCTTTTGTACTCTTCTTGCTCTCCTCAGATGGAGAGAAGTCAGATGCCTTTCTTGTCCTTCCCATCCGGTGTGGGATGAACTGCAGGTCGGCGTTCTCTGGGCAGAGACATAGCAGGAATGCCTTAATGATACTTAACTTCTGTACTGTCCAGAATTTGGTTGGTTTCTTTGGCTTCTTCGGTGTTAAATCTTTAAACCCTAGCACACGCGTGCTTGATACTATGCCATCTGACTTGCTTCTGGGCTTTGTAGTTGATCCTCTGCATCTAAGAACTTGGGTGTTGTGCCTTGGAATTAAGCAAGTATTGATTTTCTTGATGTTCTCTTTCATCCAATTGCAAGATTTGGGCCAACTACTTTTATATTAGATGATTTCAGGTTAGAAGGAATTAGCATCTAATCAAACCCTCTATTTATAAATTAGTGGGAAGACTTCTCTAAATTCTTTCCATAGCTACTATCTTGGCTGGACTAGACTTGGTTATTTCTAGAATTTCCTTTTGTAGTTCCAGTCTGAAAAACAAATGATGAAGAAGCACACATGCACACACAACAAACACGGAATTTCTTCTATTATCACATCATCCATTTTCGAGTTGAAATCTCTGTCTCTGTCTCTCTCTCTGCCAATCAGCTTAGCCCTTTAAAGCCATCTCCAGCATTTTCCTCCTGTAATGCAGAGCAAAGATCTTTAAGCTAATCTCTCTTTGGAACTGGACTTTCAGTGTTTTCAACAAGAGACTGGCTTAGTCAGAATATCTTTTCCAAGTTATGCTGGTTGTTTTTTTTTTTTTTTTTTTTTTTCCAGTATAATAGAGTGGTTCTAAGTACAGACTCAGGAGTCTGAATATTTGGGTTAAGATCTCAGCTCTTCCTCTTACTGTGTGAACATAGGCAGAATATTAACTTCTGTGTTCAGTTTCCTAATCTGTAAAATGAGGATAACAATAGCACCTATCTTGTAGGATTGTTGGGAGGACCGAGTGCGTGAATATAATCGAAGCCTTCAGATTAGTGCCTGCTACATAATGCTAGCATGATACCTGTTGACTGTTATTATTTTCCCCTAACAATCTCCCCAGTATTTTTGTCTTCACTTGAAGGGGAATTGGGATAAAGAAGAGAGGTGCTGGACCTGCTGAATTTTTACCTTCTAACATTGATCTGGTATTTCCTTGATTTTCCTATCCACAACTACTATTTACTCTTTTTTTTTGTCTTCATGTCTTTAGCGTCTGGCACTAAAGCCTGACACACAATAGGCACTTCACCAACTTTTGCTTAATGAATGAATAGATTCTTTTTGACTGTACTCTCCGACATTGGCTACCACTGTCCGGGATCTCTCACTCTCTGTTTCAGCCTCCCTCCATCTGGTCTGGGTTGGAATGTCCTCTTCTTAATTCAGGGCTTTTATCACAGGGCAGTCCAATGCCATGCTTGCAAATCCTGCAAACCAGATCTTTACCGGAACGTTCTGTGTCTGCAGCTCTTCTGTGCTTACTCAGGGAAACCCGCTTGACAAGAAGGATCTCTTCCTTCCTATGCGGTGTCTGACCCAAAAGCAGAGTTCCCATTTGGGCAGTCGTGACACCATCACCACCTTTACGCCCCACAGCAGCATTTGGAATGTAGCTGGCAAATCATTTCAGTTGTCTCCTCTTGATAAGGAAAGGAGCCTGCATGCTGCCCATTCTCCCTGCTCTCCTCCTCCTTGTGTTCTGGCCTCAAGGGACCTGCTGGTTGACATTGGCCATGTTTTGATTGTTTCAACAAATGTTGTAATTTAGCTGCTTCCATTTTGTGAGTTTTTACTGTTATCTTTGTTGATGTGCCCGGCCCTATTTTATCACTAGGATAGGACCTCCGTGACACCTTCGGCAAGTAACTTAACCACTGGGCCTTGGCTTCCTTTTCTGTAAATTGAGAAGAATTGGCCTATACAATCTCCTTGGTCTTTTCCAGCACGAAGCTTCTGTGAGTAAAGACTAAAGAGATAAATTAGACATTTTCACCTTTTTCTTCCATTTTCTCTAATGAACCCTATAGAAATGTGAGGGTGAATAGAGGACAAAGTTAATGTCCTCCCACTTGATTTCTAAGCAATTTCTGTGCTCAGATAGGGACTGGAAATTCACCTCCACAAAGGAGGCTGGCAGTTTCTCCTGGCCTGGCTACTGCCCATCTTCTCAAAATGTCAACCTGCTCCTTCTCCTTTTGTAGAAACTAATATTTCCTGGTCCTTTCTCCTGGCAATCAATACCTGAATATTGTACTATGCAATGCATATAGCAGACAGGGTGATTTTTCAAAAAGGGAATTTTTTCTTGTCAGTTCCCACATCTTCCATGCTTCCTACATCTCCCTGCTTAGATTGCCCTAGCCATGCTGTCATTCTTTTATTTTCTGGGAAGCACTAAGTCTTTCCACCTCAGGGCCTTTGCACGCCTTCTCCTCTACCTGAGTTTTTCTCTCCTGTGCATCCTCCCCAACACCCTCTTTCCTTTCTTCACTTCCTCATACAACTGGCTCCTTCTCATTTTTCAGATCTCAATTTAAATGTCATTCTTCGAAAGAGCCTTCTCTGACCATCCCGTTGAAAGTAGGTCATTCCTGTAAATTCCTATCATAGAGCCCTAGGCAATACAAACACAGATTTCATTGTAATTTATAATTTGTAACTTTTTGTTTTTAAATTGATTACCTGCTTCTCCCATGAAACTATAACCTCTGTGATGACAGAAACCAACTATTATTTACCTGCCAGTGCACACCTATGCTCAGGACATTATACCTGCTCAATAAATGTTTACTGAATGGATGGGAAAGTATTATTAGAGCCTCTTCAATAACATAATCTGTGTTTTCTGTTGATTTATTAGATTTCCTGTGCTTCCTCAGCTAGAGAGATGAAAACGATTACCAGGATGAAAAGAACATTTTATGGGGTAAGTATTTCAAGTCATTGTTTTTGAGTACTCTGTTTTCTATTTTTTATTTATTTTATTATTATTATTATTTTTTAAAGATATTATTTGTTTATTTGACAGAGAGAGACACAGCAAGAGAGGGAACACAAGCAGGGGGAGTGGGAGAGGGAGAAGCTGACCTCCCGCTGAGGAGGGAGCCTGATGTGGGGCTCGATCCCAGGACCCTGGGATCATGACCTGAGCCGAAGGCAGATGTTTAATGACCGAGTCACCCAGGCGCCCTGAGTACTCTGTTTTTTAAAATGTGAAAAATTTCTGCTTTTATATCTCCACTTTATCTGCAGATTGGAAACAAAGGAATCTACAAAGCCATCAGTGAACTGGATATTCTTCTTTCCTGGATTAAACAATTCCTGGAAAGCATTAAGTAATGCAAGGAGCCAAGTGCATGGATTGGATTACTATTTTGGAATATAAGGAGAACTACTGGAAATACATTTGTAAGAGTCTATTTCTTTAAAAAAGTTTTTGTACAAGTTAGATGATGCAGAATAGACTATGGGAATTTAACATAATAAAGTTTTGGAGATACGTAAATTGTCACTAATATGTACATTTTTCTTTATTTTCAAAGAATGCTTTCATCCTGAACATGTCTTATTATTCCCAGATACATTGTATAAATTTAATTTAAAGCTGTATAATCAGAATTGACTCACATAATATTTGTGGAGGAAAAATGACAGCTTTCTGGGATACAGTATGTTATTGTGACTCACATAGATGCTATGTATATGATTATTATCTATTTAAGTGTTTGACGATTATCAATGCCTGGTATGAACTTAGCTCCTAACAGATTTTTTATTTTAATTAAATACACTGTCTTTCTTTCTCCTGGATGTCCTTTCCATGAAAGCATGCTAGAATTTCATGGAGTGCAATGGGTGACAAGCAGATCAGATCACATAGGACAGACATATAAACGAACTGCTTGGAATCATTTACCAGAAAGGCCTTTGACAGATGATAACTCAAGCCACAAAGACCACAAGTTACCAAGCTGAGATGATGTGGAGCTTGATAACGCTCTTTCCAGCTGCTGTGCAGTTAGGAAAGTCAACGGGGGCCAAATAAAAGCCTCAGGGCAGTTCAGATTCCTCCACAGGAAACCTTTCAGTGCTTAAAAGCCTTCCTTGCCCAGCTAGCCCTTCAGTTTAATGACTAACATGGCCACACCTCTGTGTTTGCGTTACATGGACTTGGCCCCTCAGCTATGGCGTGCAAGGCGTGGGCTCTTTCAGGGAGCAGTGGATGGGACCCACGGCCAGTTCGCTTCCGCAAAGCATTCCTCGTGCCTCTGCAGCGCACAGATACCACCGTGATTTGGTGTTTTGTGATATGAATAGGCAGGACTTCCTCCAGGCCTGTGTGGATTTGGGCACCTCTTCTTTTTTTAAAAATTAAATTAAATTAAATTTTTTTAATTAAAACAATTTTTTTTTAAAGATCTTATTTATTTGAGAGAGCATGAGAGATCACGAGCAGGAGGGAGGGGCAGAGGGAGAAGCAGACTCCCCACTGAGCAGGGAGCGGATATCCCAGGACTCTGGGATCATGACCTGAGCTGAAGGCAGACACTTAACTGACTGAGCCACCCAGGCATCCTTGGCACCTCTTCTTTATTGCTTTTCTGCCATCCAGTTCTTCTTTTCAATAGTATAGTAATGATTCTCTTCACTAGGGACTACCCTCTCTTTGGATTATCTCATATTCCAAAATTACTTCTTTGTTCCCTGCCCCTCATCCTCTCTGCCTTCCCCATCGACATCCTGTGGTCCCATATTTTATTTTATCTCTATTGGGGACTCCCTTATTAGACCAATCCACAGGGAGGGACAGGTGTGGAGAGCCGAGGGGAATGGTGAGGGGGAGACTGGAGGACTGTCTGTCTGCATCTCATGCTGTTAACCTAGGGCTTCCCAGTGCAGCTCCTAGGCCATCAGTTATGGGAAGCTTACTTTGTTCGTTTGTTTGTTTATTTATTTATATTGAAGTATAGTTGACACACAATGTTACCTTAGTTTCAGGTGATTTGACAAGCCTATATATTACACTCTGCTCACAAGGGCAGCTCCCATCTGTCACCACACAGCATCATTACAGTACCATTGACTCTGTTCCCCGTGCTGTGCCTTCCATCCCCGTGACTTACTCATTCCATAACTGGAAGCCTCTACCTCCCACTGCCCTTCACCCATTTTGCCCAACCCCCAACCCCTCCCCTCTGGCAACCATCAGTTTGTTCTCTGTATTTAGTTATGGTTCTGTTTTGGACACCCTACTTCCTTTTTTTTTTTTTTTTTAAGATTGATTTATTTGTTTGAGAGAGAGAGGGAGCGTGCATAGATGTGTGAGCAGGGGCACGGGCAGAGGGGGAGAGAGAGTCTCAAGCACCCTCCCCGATGAGCGTGGAGCCCAACGCAGGGCTGGATCTCACAACACTGAGATCATGGCCTGAGCCAAAATCAAGAGTCAGATGCTTAACTGACTGAGCCACCCAAGCACCCCTGGGTACCCTTCTTTCTTGGGGAACATTTGGAAGAGCTGGGATCCTGGGGGTCAGGAATATACACCCTGGCTTTGCCATGGACTTGAGAGGAGGCAGTGTACCCATGGCCTCATTGTCCCACTTTTAGGGAGCCTGTGTCTTTGAGAGGAGCCTTCACGGCTCAGTTTGACTATGCTGCACTTGCACAGAGCCCGCGTCTCCAGTCTTGGTTGCAAACCATTCCTAAGCTGCTGCATTACGTAGGGACTTCAGACATGAGAGGGGCTGTGAAATATTCATTTGCTGGTCAGCAAACTTTAGGTCCTTCGGGATAAAATTTCCACTTGTGCCCCCAAATACGTTTGGTGAATGAATTTAATTTTTTTGTTTGTTTACATCCCCAAATCTTTGGTTTGCCCAGAACAGTGAAAAGGCTGCTAAACTCAGTCAGAAGCACTCTAGGAATGTGAAGGTCATCACCCAGTAAGAAACAAATATCCATGTTAGTGCCTTTTCACAGACTTTTTAAATGCCAAGGAAAAAGTGTGGTTTTAGTGTGTTTGAGTAAAGACTGGTATATTGAAAAGGCAGCTAAGAAGGGAGAAGCTGGTGTCCTTATGCACAGTGAGAAAAAGTGTTTGGTGGAGTCACTGGGCTCTGGATGAAGACTTCTCTTGAGTTTACAGGTCTTACTCTGGACTTTGTCAGAACCAGAGATAGTTACATTTTGGGAAATGGCCACACCCCCCAAACACCCACAAGCTGCTCTGTGAACCCTAAAGACATTTAGCATTTATAGGTAGAGATTTCTTCTGATAGATCCTTCCTGGATCTTACCTGGAAGACTAAATCTCCTGTGAAGATGTGTATACCAGCATATGATTAGAGCTAAAGGAGTTGCATCTACTCTTAGCAAGGGGTAGAACAGAAGGAGCCTGAATACCAGTGAGCAGCATGGAGTGGTGGGTAGAGCCCTCAGTGAGGTTAAGAGACCTGACTAGTCCCAGCTTCCTTCAGGCCTCTGCCCACAGCATCAGCTGGTCACCCATCACGAAGTATCAACCCACCATATCAGAATATAGGGTCTGTGGGGCAGGATGTTGTCTATTTCATTCCCTGGAAGATTCCCAGCACCCAGAACAGACCTCAAATACAGGACACTACCTAAGCATGTGGTAAATGTATGGACCCAGGAGAGAATGGATTGAGGCCTTGGTCACACTGCTGTTAGGATGTGTGGCCAATGTCAGGTCACTTTGCCTCTTGGGCCTCCATTTCTGGATTGGTCCTAATTGAAATTACCATAGGCAATCTGTACTGGTATCTGCAAAATGAGGCACTGAGATTGTCCCTTACTCCAGCTACATTGTACCTCTGGGTCTCACACACCCTCTTCCCTTCCCACCATCTGCCTCCTGTATCACCCCCAAACCCCAGCTGGCCTGGTTAATTTCTTCTGATCCTTTAAGATTTCATTCGAACATTATTCAGCTGTTAATGGTTTCATACATGCTTTATTTCTTCACAGACACTATCATAATTACAATTCCTCTGTATATCTGTTTCTCTCACTAGACTCTCTTTCTGATTCACTGCAGTTCTACTCAGACCCTAACACACAGTAAGTGCGGCAATAAATATTTGTTGAATGAATATTCAGTGAATAAAGTATTGAATTAGATAGCCTCCAAGGCTTCTTCTGGCTCTGGCATATCTCCTGCCATAATTTTTACTGGTCGGTGTGAATCTTGAGGAATGTAATTTAACAGTGCGTCTTAACCTGGTCCTCTAAGAGTATCTATACTATTATTTGCATAACAATGGATTTAAATCAACTTATTTTTTTACTTGCCCCCAATAAAAAGGTAACTGTAAATAAATATACGACTCTTAAAATAGGTTGCTAAACTTAAACAGGTACATTTTAAAAATTTTATTTATTTATTTGAGAGAGAGAGTGAGCACAAGCAGGGGGAGGGGAGGGGCAGAGGGAGAGGGAGAAGCTGACTCCCCGCTGAGCAGGGAGCCTGATGCGGGGCTCAATCCCAGGACCCCAGGGATCATGACCCAAGGCAGATGCTTAACCTGCTGAGCCACCCAGGTGCTCCTTAAACAGATACATTCTTTTTTTTTTTTTTAAAGATTTTATTTATTTATTTATTTGACAGAGAGACACAGCGAGAGAGGGAACACAAGCAGAGGGGAGTGGGAGAGGGAGAAGCAGGCTTCCCGCGGAGCAGGGAGCCCGAAACGGGGCTCGATCCCAGGATCCTGGGATCATGACCTGAGCCGAAGGCTGACTTAACGACTGAGCCACCCAGGTGCCGCTAAACAGATACATTCTTAACTAAAATACGTTCATTTGCATACCATGTAGAATCATCTTGCAAACCCCAGGCGGAATGTGTTTTACACTTTGGGAAACACTGCATTATAATGAATTTCCACTGCCTCATTCTGGTCCAACTTAGAAATTAGAACTTGATCATTTTAACCTGCCCACAGATACCAGTGTAGAAAAAGTCAAGCCACGACGTTCAGGTTTCAAACTGGTTTCTGAGTTCGTGTCATTGTTTCCAGAGATAGAGGTAGGAAAGCACACTCACCCAGTCAGTCATTCCGCGGGCCTTATGACTGAGGCGCTCGGCAGAGGATTCTGGGATAGCAGTATGGCGCCGGTCCTTCCTTCTGCAGGCTTTTGGGAGGGCAGCGTCTGCCCGGGGAGCCGTGGTGGATGCCTTGGGAGATGCAGCTTCCCAGGGAGGAAAGCTACTGTCCTTCCCCTTAGGGAGGCTTCTGGAGCGCTCAGACGTATACAGGGTGGTAGGAACAAAAAGTGAAAGCTCAGTCAGGCTGAACAGAACATCTCAAAAGCAGACG